ATTCTACTGGGACACAAGATAAATGCAGGAGTTTGGCAAAGCTGTATATATAGGCACATGGAGAAAATGACTCAGTTGAAAATTCTTCCATTAGTGGTGGGAGTTTCAAGGTCCATAGTAGATTGCTACCATAGAATAAAAGTGGGGCCCATGTCCTAATCACACCTTTAAAGCACCCTCAAATTCTGAACCAAATAAGATAGGCCATAGGTACAATAACAATGATGATTATTAGAAAGGTAGAGTTCAACAATATTAGAAACCTGATTGAATAAGTAGAAATTGCAAGAGTGAAAAAAACAGAAATAGAAAACAGAATGGTGTTTAAGCCACGAACATAATGCCTTTGCACAGACGACATAGGAAAAGCAACTAGTTGCTACATTAATGAAACTCAAAAGGATTCTGAGGCCTGATTGTTTTTAAAACGTAACCCATAACACTTGGAAAGTAGGCCAGGTGTTTTAAAAAAATATAATTGAATGCAGCAAGGTCAGGAAGGAAAATAAAGATCAAAGATGAAGTGGCTTTCCAGAAAGATAGTGAGTAAAAGGGGAGGAAAGAGAGGTTAGAAACAATTATAGCCAGAAATAATGGCACTGTCTGGGTGGAAAGAAAACTGATAATAAATAAGCACAAAATCTCAGCGATTTCTAAGGCTTTACATTTGTATTGATTTCTAAAACTTCAATTCTAATCATTTGAGAAGGATACATTATCACAGGAGTTCAAAAAGAAACNGAAAGATAGTGAGTAAAAGGGGAAGAAAGAGAGGTTAGAAACAATTATAGCCAGAAATAATGGCACTGTCTGGGTGGAAAGAAAACTGATAATAAATAAGCACAAAATCTCAGCGATTTCTAAGGCTTTACATTTGTATTGATTTCTAAAACTTCAATTCTAATCATTTGAGAAGGATACATTATCACAGGAGTTCAAAAAGAAACACTGCATTGCTAAAGAAGCATTAAGGAACGTTAAATCAAGACGAAGTAGAAATCATGTGGCTTATTAATTTTACTAGGATACTTAACAGCTACTCACTAGTTTAAGAGTTGTTATGGAGGTCATAAATTCCTGGAGATCGAGGGAGATTTACTGGATTATCGGCCTATTAATCAAAAGGGAAAAGGAAGCCCTAGTAATTAAGTAGCTGTCACCTGAACTTCAATGCTCAAAAAGATGAGTACAAACCATCAAGCTATCAATTTGCAATCACCGAGAACTGAGAACAAAGTCGGGGCTGACATGTCTTCCAGAGAATAATTCTGTTTCATGATGAAGGGACAGGAGGGGCAGATAAGAGGGACTTTAAGTGATGCACACTACACGGATTTCAGTAATACATTTTCATCTTAAATAAGAAGTTGTTTGAACTGTTGACCTCAATGATGCAATAGAGTATACGGTATGCATGCAGTCTTTAAAATCATTCGAATTAAAACACATTTTGTTTCATGAATTAAACATTCCTTATATACAAGAGATATCTGAGATATTTTTATCTACAATCACAAAGGAATTTCACTTCTTTTGATGAGCACAGAGGGGATTTCACCCAATTTTATAGGATTGTCACACTATTGAAACAATCTGTATGGTTCTCCTATTATTCAAGACAGCATGTCTGTGCACATAAATAATCTTATCAATCATCTCCTAAAAAATGCCTTCAGGAGAAGAAGTCTTGCCAAAATAATCCCTTTGCTCTCATAATAGATTATAGACTCAATATTGGCCACCAATTTATCTTATTGGGCATAATTCCTCTAGAATGAACTTGATGAGTATGAAAAAAAAAACATAGAAAGAGAAAAGCCTCTATCATCCCCAAATGTGGTATACATTCATTTGATATTCATTTCTTAAAAATTCAGTGGCATTGTTTATCTTAATTGCAGGTCGCTGAAGTGAATATCATATATGAGGGTCTTAGTGCTTTCACACACCAATCACTGTTATGCTTTTTTTTTTTCTCAAGGAAAATGTAGTTAATAATTCAAAAGTGCAATAGCCACCAGGATTTGACTTTATATTGACTCTTTCTTAGATAAACTCAATAGTTCAGTATTGAACCATATCCATTAGTGCTTTGACAACACTATATCAAAAAATTACTATGAAAATAAGAATTGGTTGGAAATTAAATGTAAAAATAGCAATTTTCCCCCCAAAAGTATAAAATAATAATACTCCATAATATTAATATCACTATAAGATATTTGCATTAAACATAAATAACTACAAAGCAAATTAAAAATAATAGCTCCCCCAGTATATTTTAAGTATATTTGCAGTTTTTACATAACTGTCCAGAAATATTCTATGCAGAACCAATGTCAATGTTTTTTATTTATTCAAATCCTCTGGTAAAATATGTAATATTCTATTTTAACTATTTTTACTCAATAATTATTTGAAGTTATTCCACATTAGCAAATATAAATATGCATAATTTTGGACTGCCACATAATTTTCCATGGTGAATACGCCATACTTAATCACCAGATACGATGGATATTTAGATTTTAGCATTAACTTTGCATTGACAAGAATTCTGTTCTAAATATGTCAATATCAAGAATTGACTGAGTCATGAATGAAATTATAATTTAAATTATATTTTACAAAAGGCAAAGTCCACATGAGTGTTTACTCAAGATCAAATAGAAAAGCGACATCACACAATCTGCTTACTTTGGAGCATTAGGGAGTCAAGTTTGGGGAGAACCAAATGAGATACTGTTTGTGAAACCTTATCTAACTGTTAGAAAACAATCAGGGCTGAAAAAATGTTCATTTTGGAAGTAACCCAGAGAGGGTGGTCAGGAGCCAGTGTGTGAGGCAACCCAAGGGGTGTGGGAGTAGGCTGAGGACCCATGAGATAGGAACCAAAGAGAAGAAATATGCTTAGGGAAGGGGAAAGGTCAATTAACATGATGAGGAGAAAGGTTGTTTGAGAAAAGATTAAGGCAAAGTGAAAGCTGTTGGCAGAAGACTGGAGTGGCACAGCACACTTGAAAGTGGCTAGCAGACAGCAGTGTCTGAGAATAATGACAATCACTCTCTTTATCAAAAATGTGGACACTTTCTTTGAAGAACTCTTGCTAAAGATGATCTATCTTTATTCATAAACTGTGCATGAGGTCATAAAAAACATATTATGTAAAAGAAAATATATTCTTCGTGTTGAAAATACCATCCCTCTAAAAAGTTTTTTCAAATCATTGATATCTCCAACAATACCTCCTATTATACAAACCTCAGACCACATAGCCAGAGAGGAATGGGACAAAATGAAACAAAGGTTCTTACAGCTCTAGAATCCAATGATATAACATAATGTAATATATCAAATCTATTTTATATACTAAATATTTCATCAATCATCACGAGATTCCCATTAGCAACTGTAGAAAACTCGTTAATACACAAAAGAGCAATTCCAGTTTGAACAGTGTGAAAAGAGAAAACGTAAGTCAAAATAGAATTTAATTGCTAGATCTAAGTGGCAGAAACTTGACTGACACCATAATACTGCATGCGAAATACTATGCATACTGTGACTGCTTCCAGTAAAGGCAAGAAGGATATATTAATAAAACACATTCCAACATCCAAAGAGCATGATGAAAAAAAGAGCACTAGCCACGCCAGCCAAATATTTTATTTAAATTATAGTTCCTTTCTTCAATAATTTTTCTATGAAATCTAAGAAGCTCTTTGAGATACTCAAATATAAACTACAAATTAATTATTTAAAAATCAGGAAAGGTTATGATCACCCAGAAATATGTAAATGGTTTTTATTATATAAATTTATATTAAAATTAATTACAGCACATTTTTTAAAAATTTATCTTTATTGTTGAAAGTATTACTGATGTCCCCTTCCCCCCCATTAATCCCCTCCATCCTGCATGCCACCCTCCACCCCCACCCC